CCAGACCCTACAGTACCTGAGGGGATTCTGTAGCCTGAAGTGCAGAAAAACCAGTGGGCAGTATTGCAGCAGCTGCAGTCCCCACCTTCCGGAAGACCCAACAGGTGTCTGCAGCTGCAGGAAAGGAATCTGTTGCCTTCCACAACATCGTTCGTCTATAATTGGGGCAAATTTACTAAGTTGGGCTTGAGGTGAACATGTTCGGAAGAATCAGTATAAGTCACTCGAGTGCCAAGCATGTCACAAGATCGGATGAGCGCTCCGGTTAAAAGCCTGCACAGCTAACAACATGACCTAACCACTTCCAACCCTTGCAGGCCTTGTAGCCTTGCAGAACGAAGTGTCCTGGGACTTGCAGGATGCAACTGCCAAGCTCTCTGTCGTAGCCTCGAAAGGTCCTGAAAGCCACGGCATGGATGTTTGCCATCCGTGACAGGGCCATGGCACGGAGCGGGGAGTATCCACTGGAAAAAGTACCGTCAGTAGCTTGCCTGTTGGCGGCAAATCCATGCAAGCTGTTATTTGTGCTGGCTGGGGGTTTCACAAAAACGGCTTGACAGCTGACAGCATCGACAGTCACACACCTTGATGCGACCTAGCACGGCGGAAAGCCAAAAACAAGCATGCTCAACCATCAGTGGCTTCGATCGGGCCTTGGGAAGTATGCGCCGTATCTTCTGAACCTTGGGCTCGCGTAGATTATAACATCACAGACCGGAGCTCAACACGCAAAGCAATAACAAGAAAACCAGGCCTCGGAAGCACTTCGATCCAGGAAGGCCTGCCCGCTCTTTCCATTTCAATGAGGCATGCCCGCTCTGGTAGTGGCAAGTTGCATTCTGCATTCACTGGCTAACAAACCGAGGCTGCTTAGCATTTGTCTTCTCATGTCATCCGGCCCAGCGTCTTCGTGAGACTGCTGCAAAGGCGCCTGCCATGCGAACAAGCATGGCCCGGCCCCGGGGCCCACATCATCCACATCGCCCCAGTCCTGGTTCAGCTTCAATGTCTTCTTGCTAGATCAATTAATATTCGCGACTCGACACAAAAGTGTTGCGCCGATAGGAAAGTCATTCGCAACGGTGCAGCCGTGGGATCCGAGGGACGGCACAGCTCCTTGCGGCATGCCTGAGTTTCCCAGTGCACTCGCCGCTGCTCCTGGCCAAGGCTCAATAGAACTCTCCTAGTAGCAGTAGCAGTAGTAGCAGTAGTAGTAGGTAGTTAGTAGTTAGTAGTTAGTAGTAGTTAGTAGTTACAGTACCGATTCCTACCGGGTCTAACATGCCAACTGCCGAGAATCGCGTTGAGCCGCAACGGCGACGAATGAGACCGCAGCCCTTTTGTTTATCGTCCTGTGTTGCCCCTCCGTGGTCTAACAGAGTCTAACATGCGAAGTTCGATGAGTGAGTCTTTGCCAAGGCTCGCAGTTTCACCCTCAACTCAACCAATTTGCAGGAGCATGGCTTCAGTTCGCCCCTCCCGTTGTGGGATGTTGCGGTGGAGCATGAAGCAGTTTCCGGGTGCACTGAACATGCACTCCAGGATCTGCCAAGAAGACTGCTGGCTTCTAATAGTACGTCGCAATCCCGACCTACGGTGCTCTTTTCTGTGAAAGCCTTTTTTGCACAGGCATCAGTAGCATGCATCATCACGTGTGACGACACGCTGTCTTGCCCTTCTGCCCGTCTTGTTGCCAATGACGACATGGGACCCCACGGCACGACAGTCCCACACCGCGTGCACTGAGCTGCAGCCCGCTCGCTCATTGGAGCATCATCTGTCGGCAAAATGGACTACTGAGCTTGTCTTTGAACAGCTTGGCCCAATTTGACTGGCCACGCTCAGGCCCAACCCTTCTGCCTTCGGCTCTCTAGACCGAACAAGTCAGACCCGTGTCGTGGTTGAGAGCAACCCTGAGACATTTCGTCTTTCCTACCAGCAACTGTCCAGGACCAGGACCCGGTGTTTTTGACCCGACCTTGCTCTGCAAGGCGCTGTGTGCTCTCGAGAGTCGATGCCTGAGCACCAGCAGGCGTATCCAATCACAGGGTGTGTACAAGGATCCAGTGACAATTAGGGTGAATTAAGACGTGATCGGGTGCTAGTAGTGCATCTTACAAAAGCACAGAAGGGCTCTCCGAGGAATTGACCGAAGAGTCTGGACTTCTTCTTCGCAGGTGTCGATCTCGCCCTGGCCCGAAACACTTCCGTAGCAGTGGCAGCTTCTTGATGTGGCAGGAGCAAACCGATCACAGAAAACGAAGAACGAAAACGACGACGACAAAGCTGAGAACTTCGGCTGAGAACTCATTACACACGAACGGAATTAGCTTTCATGCAACTAGCAAACATTTTTTGATGATGCAAAAACCCTCCTACTACGACAGCCGCTGCCGATGCTGACGAGGGTGGCGACGTGGACGATGACGAGGGTCTGCTCCTTTAACTGCCACCGCTGCCCCTAACGGTGCGATCCCTCTCATACATTTGTGCTGGCCTAGTTAATAGGCACCTATATACTGCGCAGCTGCTGCAAAGTAGGCCGACCTCGCGGTTCAATTGCGGTGGTTTTGTCAGAAGCTTGAGTAGGCTAGTTCAAAGCAAGAAGTATGATGCCCCAGCAGGACCCCTTTTTGGTGGGGCCCCGGACTGTTCCACCAATGGGAAACGACAGCTCCAAGCTCGCCGCCCTCGCCTTGAGGCGCACAGCTCGTCTCTGAAGGCAAATGCGAAGATCCTGCCAGCGGTCGCAACACTGCGATCTTTTCGAAGGTTCTTCGCTCTTGATCCTTGCCTCCTGCTCTGTGGATGTTGGCATGCCCGGCCCGGAAGACCGAAACCTCAACTTGACGAGCGCGCAGTCTGCAGTGCTCCCTAGCAAATGCCAAAGAGCCTTCGGTGCCATGTGCACCTCCCATTCTTGCCGCTGGAATGACAATTTCACAGAAGCAGCCGGCGCCTTTGAGGCCGAAGCTTGCTCTTTCTGCTTGGTGGAGAGAACCTGATACAAGCTGATGCTTCAAGCAGTGCTACAAATACGACAAAGTTAGAAAGTCAGAACATGCGGTTGAGCTGCAGAAGGGAGACCAAGAGAAAAATCTGAATGCTGCCCGTGAGCAAGAACTTCAGATTCAGTTGTCTGATCTTGGTCTCCCTGCTCTCTGGTTTCTCGCGTGTCATGTTTGCTCCGTCAGACAGGGCTAATTACATGCTGCCCTGTCTGGAAGGACGGGACAGGGGACAGCGTGGCCGAAGCATGTCTGCGGGCGGTCTTGGCACACTCCAAGCTGAGGCCTTGAACTAGTAGAGAACGGCGAGTCGGCACCGGCTGGCTGCGGTTTTGCTGGACTGGCGTCCTGCACGGAGGGAACTGTGTTCGTGCTTTACAAAAACAGGAAGCCTCCCCCACCCCCACCTGATTGCTTTTCCTGACCTTGGTTTTCTGATTGCAGCAAGCACTAAACGTTGGCTGCCTTTGCAGGGTAGCTCAGATCAGTTGTGGTGTCCTCCTTGCCTGTGGCATCCGCAGGCACTTCAGCAGGCTTCGCATTCTGAAGAACCTTCGCTGTGACACTGCATACCAGCGTTGCGTGGTTGCGCTTCTAGCTGCCAGGTGACTCCTGTTATTGAATATAGATATTAACACATACAGCCAACCAAATACATGCGTAAATCAACATGAGTCCATGAGATAGATACATAAACGAATCCATACATGAATATATGAAGAAAATAAGCACCTAGATGATTGAATGACTAAACAAACCACATGTGCATATAATTGAATATGTAAGTAAATACCTTTACGTGTACATATACACACAAGCACTATCCATTGTTTGTTGTCTTATACTATTTTATTTTCACTTATCTGACCGTGTAATATCTTATCTTATCTTATCTTATATTTTCAGGTCTTATAATATACGACAACATATCATAGCATATTATATCATCTTATCTTATACTTTTTTCTACTATACTCTAAAATATACACTATACAGTAGCCTAGTATAGCATAGTATACAGTATATAGTATGGAGCGTATGTAGTATATACTATATAGGCTACTGCATACAGGTGTACAGGTAACTAGTATACAAACAAGCATACAATACAGAGTATATAGTATATAGTATACAGCATATAATGGGTTGTGATTATACTCGCTCAGATCAGATCAGATAATGCTTTCATTACAGTGCATTACCTTATACTATAGTATATTTTTGTTCTATTACATTGCATTATATTCATTAAAATTTACGAATATACATATGCAGCTGCATATGTGTCATGTAAGCTCCCATTGCGGTACATGCTATCTCGGCTTCTTCCCTACGAAGGAAGCTCGGGAGTTGACTGCGTAGCTGTCCAGTGACTTCCTCAAGGACAGCCTAAGAGCAGAATCGACAAGAAGCAGGCTTTTGGTGGTGTTGTGGGCTACGGGCTCACAACTCGGATAATCCAGCCGATGCACGCAGCTTTCGGGTGCAGCGTTTAGGCTCTTGGTGTTTTGGGCGTGGAGGCTCGGGATCTCGGATGCAAGCCTCCCACACAAATGGTTGTTGAATTCAACCAGCGCAGGTGAGCAGCGCCAAAGTGACTAAACCCCCTTCATCGGTGGGTTACTATACTCACTACGGGGTACAACAACAGGTCACTGCAATGGTTGCAAAGGCCACGTTAAGGGTGTCACATTTACATAGAACAATACATATATATATATATACATACATACATATATAAGTATATACACACACATATATATATATAACATATACACATGTGTATACACATATGTATATATATATATACACACACATTTATTTATTTTGCATATTGATCGGCCTGGAGCTCCGAGGCCGTCACGACTGGAACGGCTCCTTGGAGAAGCGCCGGGTGATGTCATGTCGCCACGGTTTCTTAGGGTTCTTGGGGTTCAGGGTTTAGGGTTCTTAGGCTTTCTTGTTTCGGAGTAAGGTTTTGGTGGATGTTCTCTCTCGCGGGCTGGGCATTGGGCTTCAGGACGCTGCTTCAGGTTTTAGGGTTGGCTTGGGACCAGGGTTGGGGGGACTAGTCTTTACGGCCGGCCCGGGAAAGGCCCACACGAATTGGGTGCACGCTCTGGGTGCACATTAGTGTCGAGATTGCCGTCTCCCCCCCCTGTAGTGTGGTGTGGTTCGGGGTTTGGGTCTGCTTGGAGTGGCTCCCCTCCCCCTGTGGTGTGGTGTGGTTTGCGGTTTGGGATGGTTTGGGTCACCATGGAGTTTTTTGCATCATTATCATCATCTCATAATCATCACCACCATGACCATCATGTTCCTTTCTTGGGTCAACGGTCACAGGAACCGGCCCTGTCAGGAATGCGATCCTCGCGACACTTGCACGTTTAATACCCTCCTCGTGTTGGAGTGGTGGTTGGGAAGTGCCCACTGCCACAAGGATCGGGTGCGTTCGGGACGAGATCCTCGTGACGTTTGACGGTTTTGGAGCCGCCATGTCGGAAAAGTGCGCACAGTCACAGGGGTTCGGCGTGTTTGGACCGGGGCGTGCTGGAGGGGCGGGGGGGTGTCTGCGCAACCGGAAGCGGGATCACATTATGCGGCGGCTTATTGTGGCTGCTGGCCAACGTTGGTCAAGCAGTTGGTCACCCTTGATGCCCGTGATTCGCCGTTCAATCTTTAGAAGATCTTAGAAGGGTGGGTCTGCAATATCTGATGTTTAGGCTGCAAATGCTCGAACCTAATTAGAACTTCGACCTTTGTGTGTGATGGGCGGGGGCTGCAACACTCCACTGTGACGTTCGGGAATGCTATTGCAAGAAGTCTGGGCAATCGTGTTCTCTCAACTCACTGATACAAATGCTTCCAAGTTACATCACACCATAAAGCCCGGACAACACGAGATAGCGCGCAAAGCTAAGGACGGGTCGATGGTGACATCGACATCTTCGTTTGGAAGCGATGCCTTACAGTTCGGGACCAAGCGCCAAACGCCGAGCCACACCAGCCAAGCTGAATGTGGCAGCAAACAGGTGACAAACACCAACCCGGCCCAGTGTCTTTTCTGACGGGACACACAAGCTTTGCGTGAGAAGTGGGTCTTCTGGCTTTCGAGGACGCCTGTGCTCTAGTGGAGGCATTGCTTTCAATGCAAAACCCACCATGCAGCCGAGGCAGCCTGGAAAGTGCGAAATACGGCTTGTACTGTAAGTGGGCGCTGTAGGACACTTTTAGAGTCGTGTGACTATACATTTAGCTTGCGCAAAAGGCCAGTCAACCCTTTGTGGGCG